GATGTCAGTTGACATTATAATATGACAATTATAACAAAAATTCTTTGACGTAAACGTCTTTAAAAACAATAATATATTAAAAATAAAAATATATTAATCGTGCAGTTGCGTCGGGACATCCGAAGTGGATAGACGTGTCAAGTGGTTAAAGAGACCTCTCCTAGCAGCGTATACGAGAGAAATATAATAAAGTTCCAAAAACAAACCAAAGTATTCGGAAATATCGGTCATCGGTAATAATAAATAAATAAATAAATAAATAAATAAACATTCAAGTGCGGAAAGTGTGATAAGGGCAACAAGTGCAAAAAGAGTGCAACAAGTGCAAAAAAAAAAGTGAAACAAGTGTGAAGAGTGGGAGATCTCCCATCAAAGCCGTAAAAGAGTGCAATTGAATAAGTAATAAAGGCCAACGGTCCACCTGGTCAGAAGGGATAGTCGCAACCAAAACCTATCAAGTACCTGCAGGGAGGTCCAGAAACATCGGACAGACCGTGAAAGACCGAGCATCAGGATTATAGCCGAATATCCAAGCTAAGTAATTTTTCTAACTGCACACTGAGAAAACGAAATATTTAATATTAAGAAATCAAAACAGTTGCGATTTTTAAATATTTGTTAACTATTAAAAAATTTCTTAATCGTGAACAAATTATATACTAATAAAACATCGTCCGGTGACTGTGTTTCAGACAAATAAAGGATAAAGTTGTCTTGGAACCGTGATATATTAACAGTTAATATACCTAAATAAAACGTTTTAACATTTGTCAACATAATTTTAAATGCAATATGCGCAAGCATGTGACGTTGCCGTAGTTTTACAAAATGGAATTTCGATATATTGACAGTTAATATATCTACATTTCCTAATACGTTATGAGCTTCTTTAATTCAACTTAACCAGTTCTAGACCCAAATTAATATTTCTTTCGCCATATCCAACTCAACGATATGTTAATAGTTAACGTGCCTCGTTATTAACAAATATTTCGTTCTCTCAGTGCATGTCTAATAACAAATCATTTTATTCCAAAAAATCTAGTAAAACGTATCATATTTCGAAAAGGAATTTTAAGTTTCCCAGCTGGTACCAGAAAGTAAACATTCCTATTAGACAGACCACACAAGTCATTACATAAACAAAACAGAAAAGGCAGATAAGACTCCATCCCCCAAATAAACACTTGACTAATACCATAAATAAACGCCAAAACATAAATAATAATAAACACAAACCAAACAAACATGGAAAAAGTAAACACGAGCAATCATTCGGTGGGAATAATTAAAATGCCATCCGACGGAAATTGCTTAGTGGCCAGCTTGGCCCATCAACTAGAAATAGCCTGACAGGGTCAATAAATACATACGCATTAAGACAAAGACTAAATAACCACTTACGAACACACATGGAGACTTACAGCCCATACTTACAGGATGCGATCCTTGACCATCCCCACCGCTACGCGCATATTAACGACTGGGAACGCAAAACAGAGGCGTACTTAAAGGACCACGCACAAAACGGCTTCTGGCTGGGTTTAGAAACAATAATAGCAGCATCAGACATTTAACGTCGCAATCGAAATACATCACGAACAGGGGCGTACTGACAAGATATCCTTCAGACATAACAATAGCAACCGGTCAAAAAAAGTCGGTAGATCTTGCTACACATTCCATGACACCCTGGCCCAGACAATCCAATTCTCACAAACCGATCTCGCCAGCTGGGAACAAATCAGCTCCCACAAAAACCGTATGCGGGAGGAGACGGAAAAACTGTATCAACTTCCGGAATCCGACTCGGAGACGGACACAGAAACTGACGAACCGGAAGTAAACCAACAAAGATAGGAGTAAGAAACTAACTAACATACCCACCCCCCATTCACGAATACCAATTGAATGGGGGTACTACTAAGGCCTAGGTTGAGGAGGATTCCGGATTGTACTTAGTTTTGGGTCAGTTCAATGTCCTCCAAAAACCCTTCCTAAACTGGACGTATGGCCCGACCCGGCTGACAAAAATTCCGGGAGCTGCCTTAACCTTTGACACTGTCATCCACGAACTCCTAGGGTGGATCTACCAACCGGCGTAAAAACTTCGGATCCAACAAACACAGGTAATGCTGTGATTTGGCGGGATACGCAGGAGAACGGAAAGGGGGTAATATAACCCCGGGTTCAGTGGATGACAATATATCTGGGGCTTGCCATACGTTCCCATACTCATACTCATACTCATACTCATAAAAATATATTAATCGTGCATAAAGTTTTGTATGCATTGCTGGCATAACTGGTTTTTATGGTCCTACGACGCTTTTCTAGCCCTCGCGCTAACGCGCTCGGGCTCGAAATAGCGCCTCGGACCATAAAAACCTTATTATGCCCTTAATACATAAATAACTATAAAATGCCGAGGCCATAATCAATACGTAGTGTCAATTGTTGACAACAATAAAATTTAATTTATACACCGACTAAAGATAAATATTATTTTAGGTTTAGATTCAGAAGATGGTGAAGGCAGTGAGAATATAGAAAACATTGATCCTGCACCTATCCGGAAAAAGCCCATAAGGAGAAGGCTAAAAAAAATGCCTGTAAATCATGATATACTGCTCCGGCAGTTGATAGCCAGCAACTTTGCAGTGGCAAAGGGGCTTAATAATATTGCAAAGGCCATTAGAAGGCGATAATAAAGACAATTTGTGGCTGCTGGAGCATTTTGGGTAAACTGATATCAGATATTAGTTCCACACCAAACTTATATGAGTTTTTACTGACATTAAATGAACAAGTTCTGCGCAAGAAAAATTTAAATTGAAGTTTGCGAAAAAAGTTAGTTTTTTAATTACGATTATTCAATCACTTTCATACGTTCACCAACGTTTATTGAAAAAAATTCAAAATTTATTAATAAGTAGGTATTACAGATTTTATACCATTTTAAATTTTTATTAATTTACAAATTATTACAGATTTTATACCATTTTAATTTTTTATTAATTTAACTATGATTTTAAAAAAATTGAAAATGATATAAATACTCTTGGATTTTCAAAATAGATTTTGACACAGTAGTGAATTATAAATTTCACCTCTTTAATTTGAATAAGCTTAAATAGGGGGTGCAAAACTAACTTTTTCAATTTAAATTTTGCTTACGCAAAACCTGTTCATTCAATGTCATTATAAACTCATATAAGTTTGGTGTGGGTAACATGTCAAATAACTCAGATATTGGTAAACCCAAAAAATTTTAGTTTTGTGATATTTGTTTTATTTCTTATTTTGTTCAAAGTTCAAAAACTATTTTTTTATATATTTAAATAAAAAATAATAAAAATATAACGTTTTTATTGGAAATATTCCTGACATATTACATCCCTTTTTCTGTTGCCTTGAACATAAAAATTGCCTTCTTGGAGGTCATTGTCAAATATTTCCTCTTCGACAACTTCATCATAATTATCTGGGAGATCTACATTGAAATGTAAGGCAATATTATGTAGTACAGCACAGGTATTTATAATTTTTCCTGCTTTAACAGGATTATAATTGAGTGTTCTGTGTTTCAATAAACATCGGAATCTTCCCTTTAGTATCCCATTGACTCTTTCTATGGTCACTCGGGCTCTTCTTAAATGAGTATTAAATCTGCCTTGTGGAGTATCATTTCGAACATTTCCTGGATATTGTGTTAGCACCCAAGGTGATAATGGATATCCTTCATCACCAATCAAATGGTAATTTGAATTCCCTTCCAAATATATTCTTTGCAAGTGCATGTTAATTCTTGACATTTGCCAAATTGCAGTATCATGTACTGATCCGGGAAATCTAGCATTTACATTTAAAATTTTTAATTCAGCATTTGCAATTAATTGCACATTAATGCTATAATATCCTTTTCTATTATAATAAGGGCCTGCTGGATATTGAGGGTGGTCATTTGGTGGAGAAATGATTGCAACATGAGTGCAATCAATGCTGCCTACAATCCCAGGAAATCCATAGCGATCAAAAAATAAATTAATGTTCTGATTAATGTTTTGAGGGGTGGAGGGAAAAACTATCCATCTTTGTAAAAGAACATTATTAATAACATTACACACCTCTGATATGCAACGACTAACTGATGATTGGCTCATTGCAAAATGAAGAGTGGTACTAGTATCCAGCTGGTAACCCCCATGTCCTAAAAATTTTAGTGTGCACAATATTTTTAGATGGGCAGGTATTGCAGTGTTTCTTAATTCATCATTCATATGTGGTAAAAGATTTTCGATAAGAAAATAAGTAGCTTCCTTGTTAAGTCTAAATAATTTTAAGAATGAATATTCGGGCAGTTGAAAAACGTCACTTGTATCACGTAAATTGCGATTCATTATTCGTGCCGCATTACTAAATCAAAAAAAAAAATAATAAAAAACTCTAGGGTATGAAATAGTTTACCGTCTTCTCCTGTCTCTTTCATTTATGTAATTAATAGCAAAAAAGTTTAGTACTGCAGCCATTTGAAATAATTATTCTTATAATGCACCTTTGAAAGTGTTTTTTATTTAAATCGAAATTATAACTCAAAAGTTATTTTTATCGCCTAGTAACATACCTCACGATATACATTTCGGAATAACCAGCGTTATATCGGCATCGGGTTAAATTTTAAACCAAAGACGAAGTTACAAAATCGCTCTAGAGATTTTAACCAGTCGATATGATATAACCCTGGGTTATTTATAACTAAAAAGTTACAGAATAGACCCCTAAAAGCTTTATAAATATTGTTTATCTAGTTAAAATTAAAATCTGATCACTGTGCGCCGGTAGTTTTGCTAGGAAGCCAGCGAAAGCGTCAAGTCAGGAGAAATGAATGGCGTTCAGTTACCTCTCTTCCGAATGATTCGGGGGCACATCTACAGCCTTCTCAAAAAATGCCATCATACTTACTACACTTATTTTATGTGGTCTATAAATAAGGGAGGGGTGCGTAATGTGCTTCATTTGTTGTCGACAAGTGAATGTGTATTGTTCTTGTTTCAAAGCCCAGCAGAATGAGGCTTTTGGTATGTGTTGTGGCGATTATTTATTTTGTCGGTTTTCCTAATCGTTTTGTGGTTTCTGTAATTGTGCAGGATGGTTGTTTATTTGTACAAAAGTGCTCTAATTTTTTATTGTTGAAACCATATTTCCCATTATTTTGTTGTTATAAATATATATATATATATATATATATATATATATATATATATATATATATATATATTAGGGTGTCCCAAAAAAAAAAGAATATATTTTTCTTGTCTCTTGTAAAAATATGTTAGTTTATCATGCTGTGAGAGCCCTATCAAAATATCAGCTCGATTAAAAATTTGGTAGGGGTCGCTCAAGATTTTTAAAAATTTTCAAAATGGTCAAAAATTGAATTTTTGTTTTATTTTAATTCTTTTTCTCGTCTCGATATTATTTTTTAGGTTGAAAATAATAAAAATTCTGTAAATTTCAAATCAATATTTTGATTTCTAAAGGTCGCTAAAAGTTCGTTGATATTTATATTCAGAGGTCGCTCGAAAACATTCAAAATACTCTACTTTGAAAGTTAAAAAAATCTTGAGCGACCTTTAGAAATTAAAATATCGATTTGAAATTTTCAGAATCATTATTATTTTTAAATTAAAAAATAATATCGGAAAGAGAAAAAAAATTAAAATAAAAAAAATCCAATTTTTGACGATTTTGGTAATTTTTAAAAATCTTGAGCGACCCCTAAAAATTTTTTAATGGTGCTGATCTTTTGACAGGGCTCTTAAAACATGACAAACCAACATATTTTCACAAGAGACGAGAAGAAAAAAAATATTCTTTTTTTTTGGGACACCCTAATATATATACATAATTATAAATTTAACAGTGCCTTTTTAAGTTAAAAAAATATATCGGAAAATTATGAATCTAAATTACTATTTTAATCATTATGATGTTTTTAGAAAACTAATTAATACAAAAATCATTAGTTACTCCACCCTAAGCATTGCTTAGTTTTTGGTTTTGGACCGCACACGGTGTCAAAACCAAAAACATAAAAAAATAAACATAGTTTCCGCATTGTAAATTTATTTGATAGTTAAATACTTAAATTTTTTTAAATAAAATGACACTTTCTTGCAGTAGTGCTTTAAATCATGCTATGTTTTAGCCAAAAATATATTTTATTTTATATGATGTTAAACATCATAATGAATAGGCTGTATTGCCATATTTTTAAAGGCATTTTATTTTAAGGAATATGTTAATATTTACATTGTAATGTGCTATAGCAGGGCAGTACCTGATCAAAGGGGCGGAAAAGCTTATATTTGGGGGTTTTCATTTTAAATGGATAAAAATAAAACCAAAGCAGACTGTATTTTATGATTTTACAAAAAAAAAATAGGAATTGCATATATTAATTTAAAACATCACTATCACTGTCATTCCATTTCATTCCATAGCAACCTTAGTTCTTCATACAGAAAAATATTGGAAATTGCAATGTTTTTTTAAAAAATCCATATTTTCCACAAAAATAAATATATCGAGTTGAACCAAAAACAAAACTGTTAAGAATAGATGTGACTTGATAAATAAAAGTTAATTTAGAACAATATACGGTTTTACCACTCTACAAAGTGTCTTAAACTTATGGTAAAAAACATCTTTTTGTTTAAACCTGTATATTATAAACGTACGTGTATTTTTTAGTAATTTTTAAAATGTGAGCGATTCTCCATTAATGTATCTTCAATATTCTTTAACATTTGTTTAAATCAGAATTCAAATAAAAAAGATATTTGCGATTGAAATTCATCGAAAATTTGTGTGGATCGATTATTTTGCCTGTGAGTGTATGATATTAATATCTAGAAATGATCTTCAAATCTTGAAATTCTTAATTATGTTTAACACGATAACATCGATGCTAAAATTTGTTTTTTTATTTTGATTTTTTTTTGTAAATTTATAAGCAAAGTATTATTATCAGGGTTTAAAAAAGTTATGACTTTTATATAAAAACTTCCGACTTTTTGAATTAATTTAGACTTTTTAATAATTTTCAATAATTAACTTTTAATAATTTATTATAGTTAATTTTGCGATTGTATAGACTCTGCATTTAAACCTGTAATTCCCTGTATAAAGTTTATTTTAGTAGTATTTATAAGAACAATGTTTTTTAATTTAGAATGCACTCATTCGGAATAAAAGGTAACAAATCAAAAAACGCAAATTTTAGAGAACGGTTTAAACATTTTAATTAGGTACACATTTTATAGATTTTATCATCCATTCCAAATATCCAATTTTTATTAAAAGTAAGTTAGTGGTGTCTCTACATGTAGCCCCCTATACCATAAAGAGGTCATAATATTCTAAAACCTTATTTCATTTAAAATTCATTTACAAATTGACTATTCAAAAACTGGCCTCATATATTGGTTATATCATGTCAGAACTCGGCTTATACGTATTTAATTTTGAATTATTTCAAATCGGAGCTATTTCTTTTTAATCAAGGTAAATAAATGTTATACTTATGCCTATATATTTCGTTTAACTTATTCTATTGGCCTGATTTGCGTTAGCACTCACGTGTAAGTTTTTTACATTTTGCTCAAAATTTAAAAAATATAGATGGTTACTAACTGTTGGTTAGTGAGACAGTTAAATTATTATATCGACCAACAAAACTATATTATTTAAAACCTTTTCCATTTTTTCTAAGATTTAAATCTGTATAATTATAAAGAAATTTTCTGTTCAATTAAAGAAGAAATTTTTTGTTTTACAATCATTTTTACATGGTTCGCTGAATCATCACAATTAAAATAAATTCTTTTTGTGTGCATTTTAAAAGTCAGTACATATTTACCAAATGTTTCCTTAATGTTTATGTTCTGTTATTAAGTCAATTTTATGGTTTTCAGATTTTACGTTTTTTCTGTACAATATACACTACGTGTTTCAAGATTATTTCGACTTAAAATACAAAACATACGAGGTGTGTTCAGAAAATAACGGGAATTGTTCAATTTCGCGGGTTCGGAGGGTCCGGTTGTCATAAAATTTTCTTTATTATGTTGGTATACATGCCCCCAAAGTATGATAAAAACGTGTTTTATGAGCTCGGCGATTTTTCGTTCGTTAAAAGAAATGGATCAAAGAATTTGTATCCAATTTTGCTTAAAAAATTAAATAAATTCTGTGAAATGTTAACAAAGGCCTATAGTGAGTCTGCTATAAGAAAAACAAGAGTTTACAAGTGGTATAAGAGTTTCCAAGATGGCCGTGAAGACGTTGAAGATGACGAACGCCCCGAACGCACAAGCACATTAACAACCGATAAAAACATGGAAAAAGTGGAAGAAATGGTTAGAAACCATCAAAGAAGTCGCTGATGATGTTGGTATATCGATTGGCTCATCCCATGAAATTTTTCGAATGTTTTGGGTACAAAACGCGTGGCAGCAAAATTTGTTCTAAAATTGTTAAATTTTGAACAATATTTTTGGCCAAAAACAATACTGTAATGATGCCCCAGCCTCCATATTCGCCAGACATATCTCTGTCTGACTTTTTCCTATTCCCAAAAATAAAGAGAACCTTAAAGGGCCGTCGTTTTGCAAGCATAGATGACATTAAAAGCGCATCGCTGAAGGCTATCCCAAAGATCGAGTTTTAGAAGTGTTTCAAGAATTGGAAGAGCTGGCACATGTGCATAATATCCAATGGGGACTATTTTGAAGGCGACAACATTAATGTGGACGAATAAATAAATATTTGTTTCAAAAAACGAAAATTCCCGATATTTTCTGAACACACCTCGTACATGAAATCCGAAAATATTAAATATAATTAAGTCAAAATTTGGTATAAAAATGTAAAAGTAAAAGTAAAAATGAGATAAATTTTATCAAGAGTAAATTTTTCTGATAAATAAAAAAATCCCTTTTTGTAACTCAATCCCTTATAAACTAAGAGAACATCAAAGAGCCATCAACATCCTTGTAATCGATTTTACTATTTAATGTAGGTGTCAGTTTTTTGTAGCAAATTATTGCTTTGGTCTAGTGCACATAACTTGAGAAGTGAATGTAGATTACTTTCGATTTATCTTTGGTGCAGAAGAACAATTTTATAAAGATTATGAATAATCCTTATAAATACTAGAAAGACATTTCTTCCGAGTTCTGTCAGAAAATGATTTGTTTGTTTTTTATAAATTACTTTTTAGGTGCGTTTCATTATAATAACTAGTTAACTATGCCTTATTTCGCTACGTAAAAATAAAATGTTTTACACTAAGAATTAGTATTTTTGCGTGTAGTGTAATGTTGCTTGATTATAATAATTATTCAATTTCATGATATATCATATATTAGTTATAAATTTCTCCGTGTATATAATATGAAGATTGTATGTATATTCTACAAAACGTATAAAATTAAAAAAGCTTCCTCCAGTACTGAGAATCAAATAGTTAAGTCCTTTTTAGTTTCTACGAGAATGCACACTTTTCTGTTTATTTCTACCTGAAAAGCGCACTTAATTATTTTTTTCCCTCTTGCTCAGACTTCGAACCAGGGACTTTGGGATTATGAGTTTAAAACTTTGCCCACTGAGCTACTCCATGATTATATTTAGGATGACTTTTTTATTATACGAATGGCCTACACTGTTCAAAATCAAGCCTTTTGAAATACCTAATCAGAATTAGTTAAGGAAAAATAAGGTAATATGCTTAAACGAGTAAAGCAATTTACCTTTTCGTTTATTAGGCAGAAACGAATGCCTTAGTTCTATGGTGTATTCACTAACTTCTAGATAAATATTCATACTTTACTTAGTAAACTTGTCAAATTTAAAAAGATAGGCAGATTACCTAAATATTTAGTCAAAATCTCAATTACTTTTAGGTACGACAATTTTGCTTTTAATTTAGGTAATTCTTCTAAATTATTATGGCAAATTATTGAACTAATTTAGGTAAATTCCTTTAAATATTAGAGACTTACTTGCAATTGGCTAC